CGTCTTCTCTTATCGTGTAAAAAAACCCTCGAAACACCCGAAACAGATAAGAGTCTCAATCTCTAGACGAGACCCCTCATATTAACCCGTAGAAACACCTCTCCTAAGTATTTGTTCCCAGTAGGACATTCATTGACGTGGGCGTCGGAGAGAAACCCCCTTTCAGTCCACCCGGAGGCCCCTTTCTTTGAGTGTTTACAGGATTAGACGTGATGACCGACCCACAAAGGAAACGATACACTCAAGTCAGCTATGCAAAACTATGCAAGGCACGTAGGTCAAGATTCTACTCAGCCATCTCGAAGCCTCAAAACCACTACGCGTGTTGGTCCCGAAGCAGAGACCTCGGATACGCGAAACGAAGTAACGCGTGAAAGAAATACATAAAGGACGAAGACATATGAAGCAAATTGAAGTGCGTTTCCTTTAAAAAACAAAAACAAGCTAAAAAGACCGTCAATCCCAGTTCAAAAGAGAAATTTACAAGGGGCTCGAGTCCCCGAAATAAAGCTTTCCTATCTAAAAACCCAGCAGGCGCGAAGGTCCTACTAGTGAAGAAGGGCATGCGCCCCCAGCGCCTCCAGCCGCCTCTGAAGCGTCCTGCCCTCGCGGCTCACCTCGTCGTCGTTCCGACTTGAGCTCCCGCCTGAGCATGCAGATTGTGGTATGGCTCGTCCTGAATGCCTCAGCCTCCATCAGCACCAGATCCACCTCCGGAGCAAACCCTCGATACACCATGAGGGTTTGACAGAGCGTTTGCACCTCCGAGTTGCGAGCCTCGAGATCCCGCTGGCTGTCTGTCAACGCCAAGGATATGCGTTCCATCTCCGCGCTGAGATCTTTCCCCGAGCAAAAGTTTGGGCTTCGGCGAGTTGGTCCCAGGTCACCAAGAGTTCGGCCTGGAGCTCACTGGCCCCGTCGGCAAGGCCGCGTTCGCGGTGCTCGGCCGCGTGAAGCTCGTGCTCCAACTTCTCGAGCGAGCGCTGGCTCTGTTAGAAAACAAAGAAGTTAGTGGATTAAAGGAAAAGTAAAAAAAAGTGAAGGGGATAAATCCCGAAGAAGCAGCTTACCGCATCTAGCGACTGTGTGAGCTCCGAGGCAGTCAGCCGCCAACCAGTGAGCTCACTACTCGAGGGAGCAGCCGGACGAGGAGACATAAATACCAACTCTGACTCCGAAGAAGCACTCATCGCCTTCGGCGAGCCCGGCGAGCCCGGCGCAGCAGAGACCGCGGTCGCGACTTGCGCAGTCCTGGACCCTCGACGGTCCCCAAGTACACCAGAGCATCGGATTCTCTTGGAGTCCCACCACTGGCAGTTGAGTCGGACTCCAAAGAGGAGCGTGCTGGGCGGACGGAAGAGGGGCTCGGGGACCACGTCGCCCTCACAGCAGGCGACCTAGTGAGGCACCTTCGGTGTGAAGGCCGAGATGAAACTTCTCCTTCAGGAGAGCCACCTCTATGCTCGCCGACGAAAGTAGGAATTCGAACAACCTAAAAAGCTCGTTCAGCCCAAGCAGTCGGTGTAACTCAACCCGTTCGGAAGCCGACGGTGTCGCGGAGCCTGATAAAGTAAGATAGCAGTGAAAAGACAGTGTCAGTAAAATTAACCCGGGAAAGAAAAGACGGCAGTAGGAGAGTCGTACCCTGAGGCATCCAGGTGAGCTGAACGTTGACCTCCAACTTTGCTGGCAGGACCCTTTCCAGTGAGTCTGACGTACAAGTCTAACGACGGCAGGGTTAATCGCCGACGGCGTCCCGGCGATGTCCTCAACCTCACCCCTGGCCTAGGTGAAGTCAGCAGGGTTAGATGCCAAAGGCATCCCAGTGGTGTCCTGGACTTCGCCTCCGGCCCAGGAGTAGCGAGCATGCCATTTGCCAGATAATGAGCTTGAGGCCGACATCCCAATTGATTGAGAAGATGGATGTGTGGCAGAAAAAAAAAAGTTAAAGAAAGAAGAGTTCTAAGGTTTGCTTCGAAAATAGAGTGAATCCATAGAACAGCAGATTTCACGGTTTTATAGAAGAAGAAGAAACCGAAGAGGCACGCAAGAGGAATCGTTCCGGTCGGGGAAAACTAACATCAGTGGCAGTTTGGTAATTATTAATCTCTCGAGTCATGTGTGAGAAGTGACGCACATTTAATGCGGAGAGAGGAGTCCGTCATAGCAGAAAATGTGACCGGTGGCTTTCGAGGAAGTGACGCACGCTGCATGAAACGACGTGCTGCGTTTCAAACAACCGAGGGTTCGCCACGTGGATTGCACTCAACCAACCCTACCGAAAGTCTTCTGAAGACCAACTGACGAACAGTTGCGACGGTATAAAAATTTTGCGCCCTTACAGGGTAACCGCCACACACCAGTGGCCAAGCTATTAGTTCCCTCCGAGAACGCCCATCCTCCTATCCAGAGCTAGCGTCGCACTCCCCCAGATGCACGCCCCAGTTAGGATAGGACCCCATCATCTAACTCTCTAGGCCGAACGGCATACTCCATCGGATGCGTAACGTAGACTGGGCGAGCCCCTCTATATGTATCTAGTCTGACCGTCTCACGGTCCGTTTCCTATGGAAGCGTAATTCCTTCGATCAATGACATACTCCCTCGGATGCGAATAAGGTCGAAGTTGACATCTATTAAGAGTTGCCCTGCAGCTCGCTTCCTCGGAAGTAAAATTCTCTCGACCAATAATGTGCTCATGTGGGATAGACGAATAAGGTCGGGGTTGAGAGTCTCCTTCGAACTACTCCTTCGGTCAAGGCCGTATTCCTTCGTAATACGCTCCAGGGTTGTAGTCGATACCCCATCCTACTTCTTCGGGAGCCCGGACCATCCAGCTAGTACCGTACTCCTCCATGATGCATGACACGGCTTGGATGAGTTCCCAAATTTTTGCTATCATTTAGAACTAACTTTCGCCCATACCAGTACCATATCCCCTGCGATATGCAACACAGTCGCCGCGCCTATCTAGCCTTTAAATGGCAAACCACCTAGGGAATCGGGTAACCCATGCTCGTTTTATAGGAAGCCAAGGAGGATTCGACTTTCCGACTCATATTCCGATCAGCTGAGAAGTCGGGGGCAACGGTTGGGACCGATTTTACCGGTTCGAGAGCTAGACATTGACACACGCTGTGCTAGCTCGGCCGACCCACTCCTGCGTACTGTTCCGGGGCAGTTGGCGAACTTCCCTAAACACGCTAGAATCATTATTCTCACCTGCTTTCTTGGCATGCCGAATGGAAAAGACATGACAAGGAGCCTGCGAGTATAAATATGAGGAGATCCCCACGCAGAAGAGGATCGACGGATCGGGGGATAGGAGACCCCTCTAAAAGAGGAGGTAACTACCTGTATCCGAATCAGTCAGTTTGGGCAAGCAGCACAATCACGGGTGAACTCCATGTTCTTCCTGGGTAAATGCCTATCAGGTTAAGCCATCTCTAACCCGGAACCTTGCCTTCATACCCGCCCCGTCTTCTCTTATCGTGTAGAAAACCCCTTGAAAAACCCAAAACAGATAGGAGTCTTGATTCATGGACGAGACCCCTCACATTAACCGTAGAAACATCCCTCTTAAGTATTTGTTCCCGGTATGACGTTCATTGACGTGGGCGTTAGAGAACCTTCGGGAGGAAAACCCCCTTTTGGTCCACCCGGAAGCTCGCCTGACCTTTCCTTGAGTGCTTACTGGATTAGATGTGACGACCGACCCGTCACCCCGGCACCAAAGGCTTCCGTCCCGAAATGACTCGCCGTCTTTTCTCCAGAGGACGAAACTCAGAGGCACAGCTCCACCCCCCGAACGAATCACACACCCCACGTGGCATTTCGAAATTTACTTCTGAACATCTTTCATATTCGAAAAATTTCGTTTTTCCATCAAAACAAGGAGATCATATTTCCCTACCAAAACTGTGAAATAGCATTTTTCCGTCAAAACCAAAAAAAAAAATATTATTCTCGTCAAAATTGAGAAATAACACTTTTCTATTTAAATAAAAAAAATTGCATTTTCCCATCAAAATCGAAAAACTTTATTTTTTCATCACAACATAAAAATTCATTTTGGCTGTGAAAACTGAGAATTCAAATTTTCTTGCTAAAACCAAAAATTGCATTTTTCAATCAAAACCAAAAAGTTTTATTTTTTTCATTCAACATCGAAAATTTTTATTTTCATGTCAAAACTAAAAAATCATATTTTTCCTCAACTTTGTGAAGACAAATCCATTTAAATGTAAATTTGGATTTTAATTTTTAAATTTATATGATATAATTTTTTGTATGTTTTTCCTTTTTTCTAATTCAAAATTGTGAAAATAAATCTATTTAGATGCAATTCTAGATCTTAATTTATAAATTTATATGAATTTATGTGAGTAAAATCAGTTTATTAATATTAACAATAATAATTTGGAAATTATTTGGTTAATGAATATATGTTAGAACAATATTTAAAATTTATATAGCAATAATAAAAATATGATTAAATGAAAACATGAATATTTTAGATATTTTTTTTAATAAAATTATCTGGATTAAAATATAAATTAACAAAATAAACATATTTAGATTCAAATGAAGGGACATGTATTGCGAAATAGACCCTATACTTTATAAGTATTTAAAATCAAACCCAAATCTTTTTATTTTGATTGTGACGGCGGATAGCGGATACTGGAATTAACCAATGGTCTAGAAAAAGGAAATTTAGGAACTAAGAGTACACGTGGCAACTAGAAAACTATCCGACTCCGAGGCGTCAAAATCAGTCAATAAATCACTAAACTGCCCTACCTGAAACATAAAAAAGGAAACTTGAGTCCCAATTCTCTCCAGTTTCAATTCTGTCTCTCTCGCTTCCTTGTTCATCGATTTTCTAGGGTTTCGCGGAATTCAATTCGATTCTCGACGAGCCCAGTTTCAATTCGCTATCTCTCTCTCTCGCTTCGATTTTCTAGGGTTTCGAGATCATTCTCCGCTTGCGAAAGAAGATGGCTAAGATAACTGTGCGAATTGCGCGGCCGCCTTTGAAGAAGACGAAGGAAAAGAAAACTAGTGTCTGTCTGAATTCCTTGCGTAAGAAAACGGCTAAGAAAACTCTGGGAGTTGCTCGGTCCCCTTTGAAGAAGAAGAAAAACGAAAGTAGTCTATGTCTCGATTCTTCATCGTCGTCGTCCTGGATCAAAACCCAATTGCTTGGAACAGGAGCTTATGGTTCTGTTTACCTAGCGAGGAGTAAAAAGGACAAGGATCATTATTTACCAGAGAGGGCGATTAAAACGGCAGAGCTTTCACGGGCTTCGAGCCTGATGGACGAAGGAAGGATCCTGTTCCGTTTGCAATCTCCTTTCGTAGTCAGTTGCTACGGCGAAGAGATGGCGCGCGACGAGAATCAATACAATCTGATACTCGAGTACTGCTCAGGGAGAGCCATCGCCGACTTGATCGAGGACGGACAGGGAGAGTTACTTGAGTGCGATGTGAAGGTGTTCGCTAGAGATATCTTGTCCGGTCTCAGATACATCCACGACCGAAACATCATCCACTGCGACATCAAACCGGACAATCTCTTGCTCTGCCCTACCGATCGCCGGTTTAGGCCTAATGGCTACTTGACCAAGCTTGGGGATTTCGGGTTAGCAATGGAGAAAGGATCCTTAGAGTATGGTGACGGGTACGGTCATATGAGAGGCACCACCAGATACGTCGCTCCTGAGCTCATGAGCCATCACTTTGTGGACTTCGGGACAGATATTTGGGCGTTGGGGTGTACCGTTGTGGAGATGCTGAGCGGCAGAGCAGTTTGGGAAGAACATGGTGATCTCGGTTTTGATGACTGGGTCGATCTCATCGGCTATACCGAGTGTCTTCCTCGTGTACCGGGCTGGTTATCTGAAGATGCCAAAGACTTCCTTAGCAGGTGCTTGGAGAGAGATGTACACAAGAGGTGGTCTGCTTATTCACTCTCGGAACATCCCTTTGTTAAGCTGTGATGAAGAAGACAAGTTTGAAGAGGAGTAACACTACTAATCATCTCAGTTTAGTCACTTGTACATGTTTAATTGTTTAGAACAATTTTGTGTTCGTTTGAGTTCTGTTTCATTATTTGTTTACAGTTGTAGAATCAAGTCTCTGTTTTAGTATCAATGTTGATTGATTGATTTTCCAAAAGCTTGATATCGAGTATTGAGTAGAATTTTGTTATTGTAAGAACAAGATATGTTTCCAAAAGCTTGGTAACGAGTACTGAGGGTAAATATTACTTAGATGCGTCTTGCGAGTTAGATAATGCAGCTCCGACCTCACAAAAGCCTCCTTGGTCTGATCGCATTTGTTGACCCTCTTGGCCTGAACTGCATCTTTCATCTTCTTCTTACTGTAAGCTCCTCTTATGTCTACAGTGAGTACAAGAGTATTCTGTCTTTACTCTTCTTCATAGCATAGTATCTTGTCTGCAACATACAGCCAAAAAAGGCTGCGTCTTGCTAGTTAGATAGTGCAGCTTCGACCTCACATAAGCCTTCTTGGTCTGATCGCATTTACTTAGCCAGTTCTTGAAGGTTTGTACCTGACTTTACTGCTTTTTGCAACCTTCAATGTATCGAGACAACATGAAGCTTGAGGATTTCTTCGTCTGAGTAAGAAGAGCACAAGGTCCTTCTGAGTTTCAGTTGCTCAAAGTAGAGAACTTGAACTATGGATTGCAGAGGAAGCCTTGGTGCTATATACTGATATCCTCCCATGTTCATCGGCTCTACTTGACACCGTACCATCTGTAAAACACACAAAGAGTCGCACCTGTTTTATGAATATTTCATATTCAGTCCCAGAGTTCGAGTTTTTAAGAGACGTACTTGGATATCGCTTTAGTTCCCTTTGGATGAAATCATAAGGGAATGGACAAAATTGTCAATAAAAAAGAGATACAAGACTCTGTTTCAGTAATAATACACGAACCTTAGAACGAGCACTTCTATATAGACATTTAACATTGAAGTTGATGTTTCTGAGTACAAAAATGTGAAACCTGCTCGGACATTCACCGATCAAGCCACTTCATTAGAATCACATGTTGCTGTCTCAACGACAATGTCAGTCAGTATCATCTGGCTGAGTCCATCCTCCGCCACTTTCCAGTCCATTGATCTCGACGATGCCCTTCTTATTTCATGTCTGTACATAGCAGGAATCTTGGAATAGTAATTCGCTAGTGCCTTCTACTCCGCCCATAGCTGCAACAGAATGTTCACACAAGTTGTAATATTAAGGTCATCTCTTGCTGATTAACGTAACTTGTTTAGATGATTTCAATCTCTTGATTGCAACATACAACCAAGAAGGCTGCGTCTTGCTAGTTAGATAATGCAGCTTCGACTTCACAAAAGTCTTCTTGATCTGATCACATTTTGTTGACTCTCTTGGCCTGAACTGCATCTTTAATCACATTTTGTTGACTTCACTGCGTTTGCAACCTTCATCGCCTGCAGGTGTTTTATGATTGTAAACCATAAGCCAGTTTAGACCAGTTTTAACAGTAGAACAAAGTCAACCACACAGAGTTCAAAAATAGTCCACTATGTATGTATCTCAAGAAACAAGTTTCAGGGAAAAATAACTCCAAATGCAAGGAGTCATACAGTATATCAAAATCACAAAAAAATTACCATCTGAAAATGAATAAAGATGTAGAAAAATCAAAGAGGGATCCTAAAAACAAGACAAAGGAGGATAACTAACACTTGGAGAATCGCATCTAATGGTGGGCAGTGAAAGAGTAATTCAACTTAACTTGCAGGAGGAAAGAACTTTTTCTTCTGCCTCGGAACTTTTTACAACCCGCAAGAGGGTAATGACATGAATATCAGCTGATTTAGATACATCTGGTAAAGGGCTAGACAACTTGTGCACAAACATTCAGATTTTGGAGTATTGTGGCTTTAGCATGATTGGGTTTATACCTTAACAGGGTTCAACAGGTTTGGTAGCTCTACTTTATGTGCATGCAGATGATTAGGTCTTGGGTAACCCCTGCATCAAAACATTCAGCCACGATATAATCATGACACATGCTTCGATTCTAGTCTACACACCCATCATAATGACACATGCTTACAAGCTATTATTTTGCATTATTTAGCTCGATATTGTTCAATTCTCGGGGAATCAAGAAAACGTATAGGAAAACTCAAGTATGAAAAAGAAGTGATCCAAGTTTGTACCCATCTTCAGTAAATCGCTGGGAAGCCCTTCACTTCGAAGGTGTCATGTGGGAAGTCATTCGCGGTTGCGTCCTGAACAAGTGAAAGAGTAAGTATCCGGTAAGATAAAACCGCAGAGGATCAGTGAACATAACGAGAAAGGGCTTACAAGCTCAGCTATGACGACACTTGGCTGCTTTGGTACGACACAGCCACTACGTCCAAGATTGGAACAAGGTTTTGGCATAGGTTGAGACTTTTTGTGTGGGGCAACTTTATCCATCCTTCAATCCCCACATTTGACTTCAGGTATTTCAACAATTCTCTATTTTGAGCAACTGAAACTCAGAAGCACACCATAAGCCAGTTTAGACCAGTTATTATAACAGTTGAAAAAAAGACAGTCATAAGGTTTCACAATAGTCCACTATTGTATAGTCAACTTCTAGGCGAACTATAGTATCTCAAGAACAAGTTTCAGGGGAATATAACTCCAAATGCAAGAGACATATATCCAAATCACCAGAAATTTACCATCTGAAAAATGAATCAAGTTGTAAAAAAATCAAACAGGGATCCTAAAAAACAAGACAAAGGAGGCAAAGCACAATGTTAAAAGAATCATAAGCATCCTAACCAAAGAACAATAATTTCCATTTCTACAAATGCTGATTTTAAAAGCTAACATATAGCAAAGAGAGTCATTAGGTTGAAAATGAAGAATCAGCAAAAACCCAGTACACAATTCATCCTTTATTATCCAATTATCAGAAATTAAAATCTCAGCTCAGTTTTCCAAAAATAAAGTTCAACAAGACCTAAAAATTTCGTCTGAAATAATCAAGGAAGGAACTAATACTACAAGTAAGAACAGTTCAAAGCTTAATTGCACCATCGAAGCTGAAGAACTGAAATGGAGAGAACAACAGGAAAGCTTGAGGATTTCGTACCTTTAGGAGCCATTGTTAGTGTTTGGGAAGAGAAGACAATGTCTCAACATTTGTTCCGACTTTAATTGATTCCATATTTTTACATAAAACTTGGTTATAATTTCGGTTCGGTTCGGTTCTCTGGTTTTATAACCAAGAAAATTGGGTTAGTTCAGATAGGTTTTTGTTGTTGTTGAGACTTGAGCGAGTCGAGAGAGAGAGAAGCGGATCGTTAATGGAGAACTGGCTTAGAAGAAGCTATGGGAAGCTGTTTTCGCTATCTCCGGGATTATGATTACTCTCGTCATCTATGGTCTTCTCCAGGTCTCTCTCTCCTTCTTTGCTCTTCTCTCAGATTTTTATCCCTTATGATTCTCTCGTTTCTTATTAAAAAATTCAAAATTGATTGAAGAAACTTGGTGGGTTTTTGCTTTTTTAATCTTACCTCAGAAAGTAGTGTATAGGTCTCTACTGTTCACCACCGAAAGGATCTTTCTTGTGGAATTGCAAAACAAAACTATAGAAATTCAGATAAGTGAAAAGAGATTTTTGTTTGTTTGATTTGAATGTTTAGGGTTGAATTTTGCAGGAAAAGATTATGAGAGTGCCATATGTGCTGAGCAAGGAGTACTTAAGCACTCTTTGTTTCTCGTTTTCTGTAATCGACTCACTACATCAGCTGTTTCTGCTGCTGCTTTACTGGTAACTACGCAAACCTGAGTTGTATGTTGTGTGCCAAGAGAAGCTAGTTTTGAATCAAAGGACCATTCTGTATACCTTAGGCGAGCAAGAAGGTTTTGGATCCTGTAGCTCCGGTTTACAAATATTGTCTCATATCAGTAACCTACATCCTAACAACAACGTGTCAGTATGAGTTATGACAAAGTTCTTAACCCTCCAATCTAATCAATGAACTAAGCCCATTCCTCTAAATTTTTTTTTTGACAAATTTGTTATGATGTCTCTAGGCCCTCAAGTATGTGAGTTTTCCAATCCAAACTCTGGCGAAATGTGCCAAAATGATACCTGTAATGGTAAGTCATAACTTTCTTTTTGTTATGTAAAGTAGGAAACTTCTTATCACCACTCTCTAACTTCATGTGTGTTTTACAGGTTTGGGGAACTCTCATAATGCAGAAAAGATACAGGGGATTTGACTATTTAGGGGCTTTCCTCGTAACACTTGGATGCTCTGTCTTTATTCTCTTTCCGGTAAATTTCTAATCTTTCCCAAAGGGATCTTCATTAGTTTATAGTTCGGGTTCATTAGTTTTTATTTTATGTGTTTAAATTGTAGGCGGGAGATGATATTAGTCCGTACAACAAAGGAAGAGAAAACACTGCCTGGGGTGTTTCTCTTATGGTTGGTTATCTTGGGTATATATCCGTTTTCCTTTATTTGTGATGTTTTGTTTCCATTTTTGATTGATCACTTGGGTTTTTGTGGTTATACATGAACGTCTATTTCAAGTTTCACCAACGAGCTTCACTCTGAGATCATATGTCAGTAACTCTAAACCGTGTAGGTAGAAGGAACTTTTCTTAGGGTTTGTTTATTTCTGACTGTGATTCTCTTAGTCCATTAATGACCTTCTCGATTTGCATAAACCTCAATCATGTGTAGACCTCAAAGAAGCTCATGAATCATGTTGATCATGCTTTTTTTGCTACTCATATAAGAAATTTCCTGTTTGATGTAGGCCTTATATTGCAAGGGCATTTACTCCCAGCAGTGGACTTTGTTTCTCGGCATAAGGATTGTTTCTTCGACATCGCTTTTCTTTCCACTGTAAGTCCATCTCCGCTCTTCTGCTTAGTCATTACCATGATCATGTTTAGGATTGACGTGTGTAGCAGTGGTCACAGCTTCTGTAGTTAGAGATAATCTAGAGTTTAGCTTGTAATCCAAATACAAAGCTTGTAAGTTGTAACTACGCGACAGATATAAGATAGTATGTGAACTTATTAGAGACGACATGCTGTTTTTTCGCAGGTAGCAACAGCAGCCAATTTTTCATTTTTTACACGATTAGGACATCTGGAGCTCTAACGTTTGCTGCGATAATGACTACAAGACAGGTATGTTACTCTGATTTCAACTGTCTGTTTCCTCTCACAACCTATTCCATCTAAGTTCTTCTTTCTTATCTGAAAAGTTTTGAAGCTTTTGAGCATCATGCTCCCCTGCATTTGGTTCTCGCACCCGCTTAGCTGGGAGCAATGCATTGGATCCGTAAGCTCCTCCAAGCCTCTCTTTACTTCATCTTAAAGCACAAAGAGAGTTATTTTTTTCCCCCCTCTGATGCTTAATCACTGACCAGGCATCTGACTAACAAAAGCTATGCGGTTTCGGTCCCAACAGTATGATTGTTGCTTTTTCTTTTTGTCAAGAAGAAGTCATAGATGAATATTCGTAGAGCTTAATGTATGCAAATGGAGATTCTCGCTTGTGTTTTCGTTGTTTGTGCAAAACAAAGGGACCAATGGATGATTTTATTGGAGATGAACTTCACTGTTCATTGTAGAGTGGTTAAAACGGTTTGAGTTTGTAGTGTAATCATCAGACTTTGGCTGAGTCAAGCGTACAAAATCTTTGGCGCTAAATAAGAGGTTAGTTATATTTCGACTGGGGCAAAAAACGGCAGGAGAGGCGTTTATCAACGAACATGAGAAGCCTGAAAACGGCAAGGTGTTTTATTTGTAGACCAAATGAAATGATGCGCTCACAATCACCTATTGGTCAAAGTCTTTTATTTAAAAAGCTCTAACACGCGCCAAAGTGTGCAAACGCATAGAGTCGACTTAATCAATAAAAATGACTTTAAAAAAAAAATGAAATTAACAAAAGACTTTGCATAATATACAGAAACAAGTAAGGGTTTTTCTTTAAGTAATCACAAGAAAACTGTTTACTTTGTAAAAAATAAAATTAACAAAGGTCGTATTTTAAACTGAAATTGCAACCAAAGAAACGACTTTAAAAAAAAGTCACACCTATAAAAAAAGAATTTAAACAAAGACTTAGCATAATATAAGACTGCTTAAAACTAAAACAAAAAGTCTTTAAAAAATGAAATTAACGGAAGACTTCGCATAATATAAGACACAAGTAAGGGTTTTCTTTGAGATACTTCACAAGAGGGAAAAAAAACCTGTCTAGTGAAGAATTTGATTTATAATGGAAGAAAGCAGAATCGAAGAAGAAGAGGTGAACGTGAAGATGGGTTTAGTTTTGGAGGTATTTAATCATTGATTAGTAATCATTGATGAGGGAGTATAATCAAGAAGTCTCAAGTTATTTTTCATGTTGAAAACGGATGATGTTTGTTGAATAATTGAGGAAATTTCATTTGGTAATTAATTAAACAAACGTTTGATCATCATTTATGTGGAAATCCTGATTATTTGTGATGTCTGATTTGTGAATTTGTGAATGGACTCAGTATTTGACTTTTTGTTTGTTTGTTTGTTTGTTTGTTTTGGGCTCAGGAATCTGGTAAACACAAAGGTATATGTATGGCAACATCAATAGTGCATGATACAATTGAGTATATATTCACAATTATCTTAAAACTGCTTCTATGCCACTTGATGGGATTACCTAATCTATGTTTTCTCTGTCACTAAAGTGTCGCAGGAACACGAGAATCTCAAGGTACCAATACCGATATGGATGTCGCGAAAGCGTTCTCCAACATCTTACAGCGTCAGGTTCGAGTCTTTCACGACCATGATGAATCTGGTCAACGATGGTTACTACGAGTCTCGACCTTTCACCGCCGGTGGATACAACTGGTAAGTACACTCTCATCAAGTTCAAAGATCATCGCAACATTATTCTGGTAGCTTATATATGTTTTTTTTAAAAGCAATTATTATTATGACACATTCTGGTTTTAATATAAATGTTAAAAGGACGTTCCTAATCTACCCAAAGGGGATTGCGAAGAACAATGTTGTTTCGGTTTATGCAAGAATCGATACGTCAAGCATCATCGGCGATCGACAAGATGTGTATGCGGAGCTTAAGTTCTTCGTCTACAACCGTTCCACTGGCAATTATGATTATTACCAAAGTGGGTACAAAATCTTAGAGGATTCATTACATTTACATATATAATATTTGTGATGCTAGTTAGTGACTAAGATATATATATATATATATATATATATATATAGCCGAGAAATTCATATTGGTTTTGTCATTGACTTATATATATATATTTTTTAATGATGTTAGTCTAATGGTCATTGCTATAAAGTAACATAATGTCTTGGTCAAGACCAGAGCAAAATATTCACATTGGACGCAATTATCCCTAAGCTATTGCGGAATTCATATATAGTTTTGAGGATTAATATGGTTTTCGGTAGAATAATTAAAAACAAATGTTTGTTATTAATTTTTAGTAAGTGAACCGGTGATGTTTCATCCGTTCAAACCGGAGTGGGGGTTGGCGACCTTTCTAAATACCAACTTTTTCGAGAACTCAGCATTTGAATACGTTTCCAATGAAGGCGAATGTGAGTTTGGAATAGACGTCTTCGTTACTTCACCCTTTAACAACTGGGAAAATTTCTCCTCTGATCAAAATTTCAGAGACTCACATCAGGTTTTAGTTCCTTTCTTTCACCTTCTTTTTTCAATAAATTTTGTGATGCTCCATCTAAAGGCCGGTTCAACGAAAATGGTGGTACGAAACAAGAAAAAAAAATATGCCCCTTTATAAATAACAAATTTTATAGTTAAAAAAAAAATTTGGTGGCCTCGTAAACTATTTTTCCAATTGGATGATTTGTTGCATAATTGTGGAAAATCCATTTGTTAATTTTTTTCAAAAAAAATAATGTTGATCATTTATGTGGAAATCCTGATTATTTGTGATGTCTGATGGATTCTTCACGTATAATATTGATGATATGTTGAGCCGTGTTCAAGGCGTATGAGCGCAACCTATGAAGTTTCCTGAAATGTGCCAAAGATTTAAATGCAAAAATATGATTATTAGTGATGTTTTTTTTTGTAATATGTCAATGGACTCATATTGATCAGTATTTGACTAAATATTTTCCTTTTGGGCACAGGAATCTGGTAAACACAAAGGTATGGTTGACAACCTCAATAGTGATACATGTGAGAATTCACAATTATCTTAAATTTTTGCGTTGACTATTTCTGATCATCTTCTTATTCGTTTTTTAGTTTCTGTTTAGAGTTTAGACTACTCGTTAAATTTTTGAGTTTTAACGTTTAACTCGTAAGATCTGCACAAAATTATTACCGCCTTAGAAAAAATCGTAATAGAGACAAAAGAAAATGTGAAAACCCAATTCATGCATGGTGGTTCAGTGCCTGAAAAATGTATTTACGGTTGGGGATCAAGTCCTCTATTACGATTTCATATTTTTGCTGGCCACTAAAAATTGTTTTGGGCTTCGGCTAGCGATCGATCCCTGGTTATAAAAAGAAAATGTGAAGAATTCAAAACTGGTTCCATGTCACTTCCTGAGATTAATTGGGCTGTGTTTCCTTCGTTACCAAAGTGTCGGAGAAAGACGAGAATCTCAAGGCACCAGTACCAGTAGGGCTGTGGCGAGAGCGTCCTCCAACATCTTATAGCGTCAGGTTCGAGTCTTTCAAGGCCATGATGGATCTTGTCAAGGATGGATACTACGAGTCCCAACCTTTCACCGTCGATGGTTTCAGTTGGTAAGTCACTCTCATCGAGTTCAAGATCATCACAACATTAGTATGGTAGCTTATATATGTTTTTTTTTTCTTTCTATTATGACCTATTCTGGTTTAAATACATGTTTAAAGGACGTTCCTAATCTACCCAAAGGGGATTGAGAAGAACGGTTTTGTTTCGGTTTATGCAAGAATCAATAACTCAAGTCTCTTCGACGATGTGAGTGTGGAGATTAAGTTCTTCGTCTACCACCCTTTTTCTCGCTTGTATAACTATTACCAAGGTGGGTCCAAAATCTTGCATATAAAAATAAATATATATATATATATATATATATGGTCCATTGTCAGAGATATCTCACAATAAACCTAGTGAGATTAATTAGTGACAAAGTGTTTAACTTCTCTAGAATAATTAAAAACAAAGTGTTTGCATGTTGTTGTAGAAAAGGAACCGGTGATATTTCATCCCATCAAACCGGAGTGGGGTGTGGAGAATTTTCTACCAACGCTCTTCTTCGAGGTTTCAGGACCAAATGGATTCATGTCCGTGAATGGTGAATGTGAGTTTGGAATAGACATCTTCTTTGCTCCACCCTTTAACCAGTGGGAAATTTTCAGCTATGATGATCATATTAGCGATCCCATTTTCAAGTGGCACCTCACCAATTTCTATACTCTCGATATCGATTCTTACACATCCGAGACGTTTTCTTCCGGAGGCAGAAACTGGTGACTGATCTCTCTATTTCTACATTCACACGTACACTTTTGTATATATCTATGTGTTAACATCTATGATGGGTTTATAATTAGGGTATTGAAAGTGTATCCAAGTGGAAATGGTGAATATTTGTCACTCTACTTGTTGAGTGAGCCTAATGAAAAGGATTACGTTCGAGCTACGCTACGAGTTCTCAACCAAATCTCATCCAACAATAATGTGGAGAAACATGGTGAGTGTTTCGCTCTATATGTTTCTTTTGGTAAAGTTTGTATTTGAGTTTCCTTATAATTATTAGTTTTCATAGATTGCATTTTATATCCAGCAGAAGATCTAATACTCTCAAATCTTAGGATATTGAAGCTGTGTTTCTTTTATATATTTTAAAGTTTGTTGCTTTTTTTTTTTTGTTTTTCTTATCGTAAGTTGAGGGATGGGCTAATGCAGCAAAAACTGGATGGGGCTTCGAGGAGTTTATACTTATTTCAGATCTTAAAGATAGAACCAAAGGTTTCGTTGTGGGAGACTTGCTCGAGATTGAAGTCGAGATCATGGCCTTCTCCAAAACGAAGCACTCCATCTAGGGTTTATCATTTATGATGAGCCCAAAAATAAAACTACTTTTCTTTTTCCTTGTATAATAATAATAATGCCATCTCGTGTGAGATTCAAACCAGAGAGATCTATCTCTTGACAAAACTTAAGACATTTTATCGGTTGAGCCTAAGCCATGTGAGACAAACCTATCTCTTTTATTGTTTATATGTCCAAAATAATAAAGGTTTCTGCTTGTTTTCTTTTATCACAAGGCTACTCTTGTTTGTACTTTATATGTTCAAAAATAATAAAGAGCTTCAAATACTTTTTCCAAATTATTTGACATCCTCCTAATTTCTTGTGTCAAAAGAAAAGGATTTTCTAAAAAATCGTTGGCGCTAAATAAGAGGCAAAAAACGGCAAGGTGTTTTATTTAGAGACCAAATGAAATGACGCGCTCGTCACAATCCAAAGTTTTTTTATTTAAAAAGCTCCAAAAGAAAAAGAAAAAAAATCTTCGTCAAGTCTCAGCAAAAGCATAAACAAAATGTCAACAACCTCAAAATGTTGTCAAGTTTCTTCCTTGTTCAATCTGCCAAAGGATCTTTCTGCGAATGTTCTCTATTCCTGTGCTTTCTTCTTTGCTAAGGCTTCTTCATCGAGGATTTGAATAGGAGAACAGTTAGGCAACTTGATTGAATCCATGTTACAGAAGCTCTCTAGCATTGGATTTGCTCTAAGAGCAGTGTAATCACATTGCTCCACGAAGTTTTTTTTTATCATTGCTTAGCTTGTTTGGATCGAGTACAACATATCCACTATCAGCCAGGTAACAGCATATAGCAACTGGAAAATGAAAACGCTGATGAAGCAATTAGAAGAAGCACACAAAGTCAATAGATAAGAGCATAAAGCACATAATTTCATAGGGATTCCAGCATCTACACGAGCTGCACATGCTGCGTTTATGGAAAAAGCAACCAAAGCTGTCTTTTAAATCAACACACCACTTATTTCACTGAAACATATTCATTATAAAATGCTTTCACTACTCTATGAATGCTCGAATCGGAATTTCTTATACCAGACTGAATGTTCTTGACAACAATATCAGTAAATGTTTACAGAGGATCATAAAAAGGATACAGAGCCATCATCATTTACAACCTACACGCCAAGCAAAGAATTGAAAACATGAGATACAACTCAAATCGAGGGAAATGAGATTATTACGAGTGAGAAAATGAGTTACTTATCTGAATTATCACTGACATGGTGGTATTTGGATTAGCTGTCGAAACACAAATAGTTTGTATTGTCTTTTTCAGTATCATTTCACACTCCTTTCCAGCAACAATCTAGCTGCATTCCTACGTAATGGCATTTTCTTATTTTCTTGTTAATGTGAAAGTATATGTCTGATATTTTTGGCAGAACTATAAAAAACTTATTTGATTAAATCAAACTTTGAAACAGAAGAAGTTCAAAATACAACCACGGATACCGAAACAGAGACAGTGAAGGTAACTGACCAAACCTGATTCCAGATTATGACAGGATCATGAATGACAGGGTCTTGACCAAACCTGATTCCAGCTTGACCATGACTCAAAACCACCTCATACTCCCCAGCTTTAACAGACCCATCTTTACTTGGGACGACCTCTCTTCTCATAAGCACAGTAGTCTACTTCGTACACAGTTGTATCTTTATAGAACGTCGAGAAGGTGGTTCTTACTCCTTCCCCTGAAATTCCACCAAAGAGGTTTATCATCGAAACCATGCACAGTTTGTCAGAGACTTCTTCTTCACAAAAGAAGCACAAACCAGGGCAGAGAAAGAGAACAAAATGACTCAATAGTTCATTAGAGAGAAGGGCTAGTCTACTTCGTACTCAATTTTTCCTTAGACATCATTATCCATCGGCCACCTGAAACTGTATATAGTAGTCTACTTTTGATGTTGTTCAGATACAACTCAAACCGATGGAAATGAGATTCTACAAGACAGGACGATTATTATGAGTGGGAAAATGAGTTACTCACCTGAATTATCACTGACGTGGTGGTATTTTGTATCCCCTAAAATAAAAACCAAGAAGCAGACCCATTAGAAAGTTCCATTCGAAAAAGGAGTAGCAATTCCAATCAGAGAAACTGCTAAAGCTAATATATATATGTAATCGAACAAAAAGATAGAAAGAGACTAAAAGAAGTACCTTGCGTCTTACGACCAGCCTGCAGAGCCATCAGGACGATGAAGGATGTTTCAGGGACAAGCAAGAGGTCTCAGTTGATTTGGCGTTCTGCCATCTTCTCTGTCTATCTCCATCGCTCTGATACTACTTTACACAAAAAGGGTTTTTTACCGTGAGAGTCGCTCCTAAAACAGACAAGAGAATGTTCTTGTCCGGATTCCAAAGCGTAATAACATTCTCAACCGCCAGAACAGTGCCATCCCCAGAGAAAGCAGCGGCACTCATTGGCTTTTGCCTGGAAATTATTCAAAGAGAAGAGAACATATTGAAGTTGTATGAATGTTGAAGTTTCCTAATGCATAGAGAAGCTATTACTTATAAGAGCCAACTGCTTGAGGCAGTCAATGATACAGAGCCCCAAAAAAAACCAACTTCAAGCTCATCACTGAGTGGACTCACAACAACAAAAAAATCATGTATTTAAATCGTTCTGACCAATATTCTGTCTAGGCTTTTTGATTCTTTTAAACAAAAACTCAATCTTTCAATTCTACAATACTCGCTACGTCGCAGATAAAGACAGTATTGAAATTTTATAACTTTTAAATGAAAAGAAGCAGAGATAAAAGAGGCAATTCGTTATCAAAATAGAAAAATCAGTGAATATTAGATGATTTACACCTCAATTTCAATGCAGAACTGAATACAAGTATACAAACTAAACAACTAAACTAAGCAAACAACTAAACAAGCAAACAACTAAAACAATCAAAAAGTTACTCCCTCCGTTTCATAAAGAGTGTCGTTTTAGAGTTTTATTTTTGTTTCACAAAAAGTGTCGTTTTGTATTTCCAATGCAAATTTTTAATTAAAAATCCAATTCTAACCTTGTTATTTTAGTGTAATAATTAGAAAAAAAAAACTGTTTAATGTATTTATGAAGAACAGAAAAGACTTTTTATTAAATTTCTTAATATGTGTGAAAAGTGTCAAAATGACACTCTTTCTGAAACAGAGGGAGTACTAATTAATGAGCCTTTGTTATTTGGTACGTTACATGGAAGCATCACTTAAACTCCGGTTCCCGAATCGGAAACGGAATCGGAAACGTCTGGAATCATTCGGAAACGCAATGGATTCACGGTTCCTAAAAATCAGGATATGGAAGTGCACAGAAAACTATGATTCTGATTTGGAAGCGCAAGAGTAAATGAATCGGAACCGTTTAATACACTTATCAATTGTTGAATCTGAAGAAACACCAGAAATAGTTTTATTTGAAAGAAATGTAAGTATGGCTGGCGGCAGACTCAACGGAGAAGACAGACAAATTAAGGGTTTTGCATATCAACACATGTAATTTTTTTCTTTTTACTAAATATAGTTTTTTATATTAAATGAAATAAGAGAACATCTGGATATGTGAATGAAAGTGAATCAATATATCTCACTATTGAAGTTTTCATGAACTTGAAACAATATATCTTATGAAACATAAAAGAGTAAAAAAATTCATTTATTTAATATAAAAAATATTATTAACAAAAAACAATTGTTTTATATATTTTATGTTATTAGCAATATATAAATAGTTTATATCTTTCCTTTTGTTAAAAATTTAAAAAATATTATATATATATATATATATATATATAAACGCTTCTAATTTATACCCGCTTCCTAATTTAAAAAAAAAAATCGTTTCTACCTTTCCAAACGTTTTCGCTTCCGCGTACCCGCTTCTGTTTCCATGCAGCTTATTTACCAAACCAAATACTTTAGCAAACTCTTGATCATTGAAAATACCTTCACAACGTGTCTCAAAATCTATGAGATCATCCATGTTTCCTGCAAGTAAATCATTGTCGTTGTTGTCCGATACTTCAGCAAACTCTTGATCGTTGAAAATACCTTCACAACTTGTCTCAAAATCTATGAGATCATCCATGTTTCCTGCAGTTTCATCATCCAAGAAAACGATTTCGTTATATGTTCTGGCACAGTCATCAGGAATTCTGCAATTTAGGATTTGATCCAACTCTGGAGTTCTGACGATGTTGCCGTCCGTAAAACAGAGATTCTCAGAAATTGCAGAAGTCGACTGAAGATATAGGGGTTGATTCGTGTCGTTGTTCTTCAGGTCATTATCACTGACGAGAGCCTGATGATGACGATCTCCCTGATTCATCAAATTCATGGTGTCCTCCGAACGCAATCGCTTCACATCGCTCAACAGACTCTTCACCGACTCGATCGCTTCCTCGATTTCTCCCAAATTCTCTGATCTGTGAAGGCTATCGTCGTCCCACCAATACCCTAACCCTAATTCGTGGCGAGCGAAGCAGATACCGATGTCTTCTCTTGTAACACCGCCTCTCCTCATATGAGATGACGTGTTAAACACTCAATTTTTCAACCAAGTTACCACAGCATTAACTTCTGATCAATACTCATTCCATAAATATAAATCCAAATAGTCTTGCAAATAACCAACTTAAACTTAAATAAATCATAATCAAGTCTCAAAACCAACTGAAAACCATTTGAAACAGAAAGCTAAGTGTCTTAAGGACCCCAAGGACCAAACTAGAGAACCAGCTCACCACCATCACACACCAATCACTCCTGCTGCTCCTGCTGTGCAAGGAGGAAAGGGAAAGGAGGGGATGAGTAATTTAGATTACCCAGAAGAATGCATACATGTGGTCCACCACACATATCATTACCCAACCTGTCGCTAGCTAGAGTCAAACGAACAAACACAGTTTAATGATTCCTCTAACAATCAACAAACAAATATGCAATGAACAAAGCGAGCATACTTAATGCCTCTCGTTACAGTATCCCACGGATTAACCTCCGCAAGTTGCGTATGTCTTACACCCTTGCTAGGGGACGCATCTCTGCAAGAGTCTAAGTCGTTGCACGACTGGTTCATCAACTTGAGCACCACATGGCATTACGACAGGCACATCCTCTGTCGCAGACGTCAACTTGAGCACCACATGTTCGAACATCAAGCATCTATATCGAGCTGAGGAGCTCGATGTTAGTAGAACCATATTATGTCGGGCAAACACATCGAGAGTGTCTCGGGCTGAGTATCAAGCACGCACATCATGTGATGTAAAAGACCCGAGAGTCAGGCGAGGAACATTGAGCACTAATATCGTGCGATGTGCAGAAGGTGGAGAAAAACCAAGACACATCGAGCTTGCACATCGCGCGATATAAAAGTCCCAAGAGTCAGGCTATGGATGGCGAGCTTCAACATCGAGCAGCTAAGCTCGATACACTCACATCGACCATCCATATCGTGCGATGTAAAGAGATAGGGGACATTGGTGCACACATCAAGCTTCAACATCGAGCAACCGAGCTCGATGCCCACACATCGAGCACTAATATCGAGCAGTCTAGCTCGATGTTGCCCGCGAGGTAATTCTTTTGAATTTTAAAAAATTTCCCTCTCTTGGTTTGGAGCCAAGGAAGTTTGAATTTGAAATTTTTGGCTCCTCCCCTGCCATTCTTATCCACTCCTGAGAACTTTGTCTTTTGTCCCCCATTCCATTAGATTCCTTGCCCCCTCCTTAGTTCTATATAAACCACACTTGCGCTCTTCTCTCTTCACACTTCTCATTTCTCTCATTTTTCATCTAAGCCACGAAATTTCTTGCTGTTTCTCTCTTTATTTGTCTTTTCCAAAGTGCTTAAGAGCCAACAAAGGTTTGCTTCTTAAACTATTCATCTCTTGTTCTTATGGTTTGAAATTGTTAGATGTTTCTAATCTTATACCATTTGAACTAATTTGTTTAGTTAGTTTCATTGTTTTGATTTTGCATGGTAGATTTAATTGTTTAAAGCAAGTTAGAATCTTAGAGCTGATTTTTGTTCATAATCTATTATCTAGCTTTGCTTTATTTTCCTTATGCATTATCACATTTCATTTTGTTTAAGAGCCACCATGCTAGGATCATGTTTATAAAATTATTAAAAATCTGTTTAGATTTTAGCATGCTTATGATCTCTTGCTCTTGAATTCTCTTGTTTCTTTAGAGGTTTACATGTTTAAACATTACTTAAACCTCTTGTAGATTTGAGAATTTTTTTTAAGAGCATTATATCATTATTCTTCATCCCATTTGTTCTTATACTTATTAGATCTTCAAGACTTGTTCTTGTAGGTACTATGGAAAGAAGCAATGAACCAGCTGGCGCTGTGAACAAAAGCCAAGGAACAAGGAAGAAGACGCCTACACCCATACCAGAAAAATAAAAAGGTAAGAAGGTTACCGAGGCCAGTCTTCAAGGGCAGCTAGCAAGAAGATAGCGGAGAGTAAGACTGCCAAATCAAAGGCAAAGGGAAGGGGAAAGTTGTTGAAGAAGCCCCCAACAAGCAACCAACTTCCAGAGAGCTTGCAGAACTCTCCAACCAGTGCATCTTCAAGGCCACAAGGTATCCTTGTTGCCCTAATATGAAGGCACTTGGCATTTATGAAGATTGCAAGACTATTTTTGAAGCTATGGGGTTAGGAAAGTTCATGGAGTTAGTCCTTCCCTCTTACCAGCACCTTACCATCCAATTCCTCTCAACCTTTCAAGTGGTGAATTATAAAGATAGTGAGCTGGAGAATGGTGATGGCTGGATTTCTTTCAGGCTTGGCAAGCATTAGTATTCAGCCACTTTCATAGAACTCTATGCAGCCCTTGGGATGGACTTCTACCCCACCCACAAGCCTCAGTTCAAGATAAGGATGCATCAGCTTGCACAGCTTTGGAAGGTGATTGGTATTGATGAGTTTACTCCTAGAGTAACAAGGAACACAGACCTGAGGCACCAAGCTTTGAGATATGCATACAAGGCCCTTGCTAACACTATGTTTGCAAGGAGGGAGATACATAAGATCTAAGCTAGAGAAATAGATATCATCTTCCATGGCATGTAGCAGCTGGTGCAATACAGCAGAGTTGGGCGTCAAATCCACAAGCCAGAGGAGCTTCCTTGCTATGCAACCCTTCTCTTTGAGCAGATCTTCAACTATAGAAGCTGGATTATTAACAAGGACAAGAGGGAGAAGAATCCTTAACTGAACATTGGAGGAATTGTGACAGCTATTATGATGTCTAGTGGGGTGAATCTTGAAGATCATTCTGAAGATGCCTTGCCAGCACAATGGATGGATCTTGGTTACTTGAAGAGAACTCAATTCATTGAGAAGACCATCCAAGGCAAGCATGTCTATCAATTCCTCACACCATCAAAAGAGCCAGCAAAGTTTCTCCTCTAAAATGTGCAGCACACCTCCATCTCAATAAGGAGTAACATAGGTTTTCGCCCAACAGAGAGAATGCTTTATCATGGTGGGACTGTGACCGAAATCGAAGAGGGAGAGAGTGAAGAAGGCAGTGGAGAGAGCACTGAAGAAGAAGAAGAAGAAGGAGATGATGCTGGCGCTGACATTGAAGAGGGATCCCAAGAGAAGGAATCAGAAGATGAGCTGCTGGAATACAATGCTAGAAGGTTCTACTTTGAACCTCATGAGGTGCCAAGGCAAGGGAGCTCACTCAAGTATGCTCATGACCACATTAACAAGATTCAAAAATGGTGTAAG